TGTACATACATTCGTTATTCTTCATGTAAAGAAGTAAGAGTAAGAAATAATACTGCATCACGGAGAATAATAAACTCAAAAATTTGGCACCGTGAATACGTTCATAATGGTTTGATTTCAAATATTTACATTTGTAAACATGTTTGAAAGTGCGTACGACAAGATGGTAATTTTTATTTTTATTTTTCACTCCGAATTTTAAATTCATGTAACATTCCAAACACAATAAATTCAGCGATACACTTTGTACCTTGTATATTATTATATTATATTATTCATACTATGCATACTATATTTATTATACTTTCGTAGATATCAATTTACTTAAAAATGTATAGGAACATTTTGGATTTTGAACATATTTTATTGACACATATCATGTGTGAAACTTTCAAGGAACCCAAATGAATTATTCATCTTGCAATAATGTTATACTATATACTATTGCAATCCATTGACAGTTTACTGTTTACACGAGAAAACACGTGCGTAAAAGTTATTGGTTTGATTTTTCTGCTTCGTAAAATAGTTAAACTATATTGGTGATGACAATGTAATTGATTTGCAATCATATTTACTATTGCCCGAATGATATGATTTAATACGATACGTTAAAAAATTATTAATTCAACAAACGATAAATACAACTTTTCCTATGGCTCTTCGGTTTCTTAAAAAAAAAATTTTTTTTACGGTGACAGACAAAATTATGAAAATAAATTCCTAGTTTTATACATATTGTAATACGTTATTTTCGCTTCCATTAAAAAAAAAAAATAAAAAATGTCTTTCAAGAAGTATTACTGTATAACTTTAAGTCATTTTTTTCTACATTCATTAAAACTTTATTACAGACGAAAAATATTCAGAACTTGAAAAAAAAAAAAATAAAATAGGTATCTACTATAATATGCGTATACGGGTTTTGATTTTACGAAACCTATTTTTTTCTTACTTTTCCCTCTATCGTTCGCTTAAAAATGAAATATTTGATACCAATTCACTTCATCGATATCGTTAAGTCCTCGAACCCTATGTTTTTGCTCCAAAATTTTAATCCGAAAATATCTGGGGTAAGCACCGTAGATTTCATTAAAATTTAATCGCTTCGGATGAACAAAAAAAAAATCCCACGGACCGTATCGTTGTAATGTTTACAAGAATCGTATTTTAGAGAACAAACTATTATTAAAACGCTTGTATTATACTGAATCACGAACGGGTATTGGCATAGAGCTACAGTTAGTCATATATGCGAATTAGGTCTCAGTGGTTTCAATAAAACCATTTAACGTTTAATTTAATAACATTACGACCATGTTTGAAGGCTCTATTATTTTCTCATCGTGTTTTTTTTTTAAAATATTTGACGACATCACGTTTTTGGACAACCAAAATTTTAACATTTTCGTACAACGATAGTCGAGACGGCAGCAGCTGTGTAGGTCAGTATTAGAGGGCACGTATGATCTACGTCTCGCGATCGGATAACTAAGTATGCGATGGTTGGAATCAAAGAAATTAGCTAGTTTCAGTGTATCTGAAATCGAAGAAGACGAAAAAAAAATTGTATTATGTGACCAAACACTTGGCTTTTAAATGAAAATAATATTAAAATTTTATTAGTGAATAATATTACAAAATAAATTAGGTATGTCCTATATTATGAATTAAAACTTCTAACAAAATATTAAACATTACTCGAGTATAAAATATTGAATCTTGTCGAAGTATCTGTACAACGAAACGTTCAAAGGTGGGCCGAATGAACGGATGGGAGATAATATTAACAACTAGAACCCATCTCAGTTGGTCTTAAAGCAAGAAGAGCTTAATGTCCGAATAAATTATACGCACGTAGCGCTCGGTGTTAGAATAGATTCCGAGATAAGATATGACATGGCGCGGGTTCGGGTTTAGTGCGAAAACCGTCTACATCAAAGCCGTTGAAAACATTCAACGTAGAGGCTTCAAATGTCGTCAAAGAAAAAAACCGATCCAACGTGTGCCTGTTGAAGCGATAAAATGCTGTAAAACGTTTTCCATCGAATTGGTCTGATTTTCGTGGTAAGCCATTAACGAAATATAATCTCTGGCCGACACAAAACGCCGGACGACTTGCTGAGTTCGTTTGTACGTTCGACTATACCGCCTTTTATCGTCCGCGTTCGATGCACTTGTTCGGTCCTGTGCGCGTGCGAGAATGATTATCGTAATCCATTGTGAACGGGCGACGGACCACGGGACCGACGGGGGATGGTTTCTTTTTTCACTCAACATATGCACGTACTTTCCGGAGACGAGCCTTGACGAGCGCTCTTCATGCAGTGCATATTGCTCGCGGACGACCAAAGATTGACCGAGTCCTACCCCGCACGAGTACGCGTTCTTTCCGTAATTTTTCGCATCATTATGTATGTGAGTGTGTGTGAGTTAGATACAGCACAAGGAATAAACCAAATCGCTAATGCGCGCCCGAACGATAGTTACCCTCGGGGATTTTGATTGGAAATAATTATTTTTTTCGTCCGCTTCGAAAGTGTCCAAGATCGCACGTATTTGACACGTACTTCAACAAATTTTTATTATTATTATTATTACTATTATTGTTATGTGCATAAACTCGAAAACCCAAGCGCCTATGTTGTATTGCCTACTTGGTCGGAGATCGCCCGCACGTCCACCGAGTGGTCGTCTTTATTTCAACGCTAACAGTTCCGTAAGCCTATTCAGTTGGAAATTAGATTTATCATACACAAGTTTGAAACGCGTTCGGGTCGGGAAATACCAAAGTGAAGTGAACTATTCGACAAAGTATTAAATTAATGAATTTCCTTAAACTCCTCCTACGTATACCTCTGTGCGTATACATGTATATTTTATACATAATATATATATATATACATATTTTGTACGTATATATGACTAAACGGGTGAGGTCAGTACTATCGTCGTTGAATGCATGTATATATTATAATGAAACATGCAGTGAAAAGACAAGCATAATGAAAATTAACGTTTTAGCGAGTCTAAAATGCTAATAAAGCTGACAGTAACTAATGTCTCAGATACTAAATGGCTAAAAGAATTGTCTTATTTATTCATTTCGAGTATAAGTATAAACACACAAATTGCGCATTCATTTATTTTATTCTTTTCCATCGAAACACTAACTATCACTGATATCAATTATTAAATGCGTATGTATTATATAATGTAAAGTAAAATTACGTATCGGAAAATACGTTCAGAAATATTTGAAATATTATTCAACATCCGAATCGCTTAAAAACAACTATGCTTTTTTTTAATTATTTTATCAGATGTGAATTATTTTAATTTACGTTTTTATCATAGGTTTTTATGAATGTGTATTATATTTTTCCTATTTAAAATACGATCGAAATCAACACGATATTATAAGTAATGTTATAATTCTAACTTGGTAGTTTTAAAATCCGTTGAAAAAAGTTAAGTTTTAATCACTCTAACAATAAATCTAGCTGATTAGTAAATTAGGTTAGTAAATCATCTAAGTCTACCTGTATTTTAGTTATAAGCTCAAAGGATAAATATATATTTTCTAACATTAACTATAGGGAATGTGACTGAATGAATAATAATTTCCGTATTCCGTTTAATCTAACTTGACAATGCAGCGTGTAGTTAGGTTTTCTTTTGAATGCTTGAACCATTCTACATACACGGCCATTTTATACGTTTAATATGTAATATTTAACGGTCCGTAGGAAAATACAGACTTAAAACCTCGCAGAATCTATTTTTTGTAGCACGTGAAAATCGTCGAACAGCATTTTTCACGAGGGTCCATTAGAATATGTTTGTATAATTCACTGCAGCGCCGGCGGTAGCAGTGAACATTCGAAGGGATGTGTAAAGGCCTGATCATTTATGGGTTTTGCACTAGTATTATTTATCGCATTTTCGGCCGTTAAAAGCGATTAGTTTAAAATATATTTGCGACTGACAGTAATATATTATATATAGCATGGTAAAGCTTTTATAATGTTCAGTTAGCTAACATCTCTACGCGCTATTAAATTATTGTTCACGCGCTTTTAGTCTCATAAAATCAAACATTATCAAACTCCACCAATGAATTGGTTGATTACGCAGTTCGACTGTTTTATAATGATATCGAATAGAAAAATGTAGGTATCACGTGATATTAGTTACAATATATGTAACTTTCAAAACGGATAAATACAAAATTATATGAATTTCCGTCTAATGTATTCATTTTTTACGATTAAAAGATTTTACATGTGTTTCTTTATCAATGTGCACGTTCAATACAATATTTTAAGCTTATCGATGTTTTTGTAGGCGATAATCATTGATATTTTCATTAATCTAGATCTTTGTATAAAATTCTGAGCGAAGCGTACCTTGATGCAATAGTTAAAAAATTACAGTTTCTCTTATTTTTCCTATAAAAACATGTCGGGGAAGTTAATTTGCTCCAAAAGATTTCCAAAGCAGTTTCTTAAAAAAAAAAAAAATTGACACTGATAGTATTCCTAATATACATTTTTTTAATTTTACCAGAATAGTTACGTGAAACACTAGAAAATATAATTCAGTGTTTTTTTTTCGACAAACATCTTTATATCTTGTAGTAACAAATAAATTTGAAGAAGTATTTCAATTTTAAAAAAATAATAAATTATATTACCTAAACTATTTTATGAATTTTAAATCTGAAGATTTAAATTTGTAAAAAGTTAATAATATTTCCAAAGTTAGAAACACGCTTCTATTTATTTTGTTTATGAAAATGTACAATGTACATACCTATCAATTGAGAAAATAACTTATCTAACAAGGGACCTATGATACTGATGCTGGGTCGAGCAATTTTATATTTTTATATGTTTCTAATTGGCAATGATATTAATATATCAAGTGTTTCCTTATGGGTTCATTTATTGAAAAAAAAAAAAATTGTTTATTTGGTTGGGTTAGGTCAGGTTATGTTAGTACTTGAATCAGCAGTAATATATGTACTAAAATCGAAATGATATAGAGAACTTCAGCATGGCCACTGAGCAAGGATGACACGTAAAGAAAATGTTAGGACAGGTTAGGTTAACTGGGTTCGTTTGGGTTGAATATGGCAAACGTTGTACATCGTTTAAATATTGTTATCAAATATGTATCCGTCGGGCTATATGTACATGGTTGAATGCATTACCGTTCGGATACACTATTACGATGTTAATCGGGCAATAATCTCCAGCAATTACTGATAAGTACACGGCTATGATAATTTGTATGTACGTGCACTATGTGCACCACAGTACTTGATGCATAAGATACTATTTTACTACTGCTATCCTCGAGAAATTCCCGCATTGAAACAATAATCCACTTTGTATCCATCGCTGCATATGCTCTTATTAATCATTCATTCGTTGTTCAGTGTGTTTATCGAAAATTATTTTAAATCCGAGATAACATTTGTGAACCATGGCTACTTTATTCGTTTCGTGTAGGTACAATGCAAACACATCTACACAAATTAATTACTTTTTATACGATTGGTGTTATTCAATTTCTCAACATTATTCAGTGGGATAACACAATCAATTATCAAATTACGATTTCTAGACGATTGTCCGTTTTACTTCAATATTTCATGTTGTTATTATTATTTTTCAACACAAAATTTTTTCGACGTTTTCCGATGTTTATATGGTTCCAAATTCCGTATTTAATTACAATGAAATCACATTCAATTAGTTAATTGTCATTTCGTTTATGTACCTACGATAATTATGATAGACTTGCATGTCTGTTTGATATTAATGTTAAACCGATTCACAATAGATTTTGTGACATAATAATTAAAGAAACATGATGATGTTTTTCAATATCAAGTAGGGGGAAGTTTTTGATGATATTAGAAGTTAGTAAAGAATAAAAAATACATCAAAATATGAATAATCAATAATGACGGTGTTAATATTCGTTTTTCTACTATACATACAATGTAAAGTATCGATACCTGGGACCGAAATCAAAATAGAAGTAAGACATTATAGCATTTGTTATTTCAAAGTTCATGAATACATTATGCTTTCCATACATTTAAATGCTTTGATAATATATGGATAATTTAGATATTTAATCTACAAACTCACAAACGGTATTACTTTCTTCTATAGGGAAATGCTTTTGAAAACGTTTTTCAGTGCACTGCAGGAACCAAAGGTAATAGACAGCGCATGGTTGCACGAAAAGTTTCTTAACGTTATTTTAATTATTATTTTCGAGTATTTCTTCCTCTCTCTGACTTTCTTTGGGTAGTAGAACTTTGACTAGTAAACCCTATGAATGGGAAACTACTAAAATAAATAAAGGAAGTCAGCTAGTCATAGAAATGAAAAAAATAAGAGTAAGGAAATAAGAGAGAGAGAGAGAGAGAGAGAGAGAGATAGAGACAGACAGACAGACAGGGAATGATTGAGAGAGAGTGCAAAAGGGGAATGAAGAAACAGAGATACTTTTTACTTCCTTATCTCCACTTTAGTCACAGAGAAAGTTTTTCTTAATTTTCTTTCTTTTTCTCATGTATATACTTAATATTTCTCTCATCGTAATATAAAATAAACAAAGTAAAATATTTGTGAATGTGTGACTTTCACGTACCGGAATAACGAAAAAATGTTTAGTTCAAGAGTTTGATTAATGGTTTTATATTGAGTTTTTATTATATTTTTAGTCTGATAGCAATTGTTGTGTTTGAAAGTGTATTGACACAACCATCGTCTGGATATTGGGGGTCAAAAAAAATGAACTAGGGTCCAGAAACACACAACGCGTTCAATGGCCAATCATAATCAAAAATGATATGTGTCACTAACGCGTGTGATTCGCGATATTATTTGCTTTCCAAGCACGAGCAACTGTGTAAAACATCTGTTACACCGTATCAAACATTGCCGTCAAATCACAGGTTCGTAAATGGTAATTTAATAAATTACATTACGAGCCTCACAATAAAAAGGAATGTACAAGTTCCATCATAGTTTGTAATCAATTGGACGTTTATCATTAATTTCACGTGACTATACAAAAAAAATCTGCATAGATTTCGCTATTGGGTTTTTATTATTATCGTTATTATATTTCTATATCCTATTATTATTATTCAATTTCGAACGGAACAATGAGTATATGAATAGGTACTTGGATAATTAACAACGAAGATTCGTATCGCTATTCAATCGATTTCTTCTCAAACTTTTTCATTTAATCACGATTTAAATACAAGATATCGTTTCGGAAATCAGGCATAGTTTAAAAATCAAACGTAAATTACTTACAAAAACACTAAAGCACGATAGATAATTACCGATTATGGTTATACTTTACGTTAAACATAGCATCGTAATACATGAAACTTTATTGTTTATCACAATCTGCAGTATTTTTTTAGTTTTTTTTTAAAATATTATATTTGTTTATGTTTTTATCACTGAATGTGAAGGACTTAATATTTTTAAAGAAATTACGCCGAAAATGCAGTTGTGAGAAACATAGACAACTTTTTAGATTTCAAAATAAACACGTGAATGTAATTTTCCAAGTTTCAACAACCAGTTTAATCATAATAGTTCGGTTTTCAATTTTTATTTAACAGTTTTCTCGACAATGATCCGTAGAAACAAATTAAAATATTATGAATGAAATTAAATAGATTTGCAATTCGTAAAACTATGTATAGTATTCGCGTTGAAATCCAGAAATACTAATTTGATAAAATGAAAATACTAGATATAACATAACCCATTCATACTCTAGTTAGCCATGTAAGATATTATACAGTGGGTGACTTTTCCGATTATAATATTCATATTATGAATTAAAAAATATTATACAATCATTCCATTGATATACAAAATATATAAAAACAAATTGTACAAAAAATTCCGTGTAAAAAATAATAATTCTTAAAAAAAAAAGATATGATAAGAGGCTTGATATTGGTGAGCGGAATATGGTAGCTGTTTTTAGACGCACAGTGACCGTGACGATTAGAAACCGATCATCGGCCATTCCACTTTTTAAAAGAGACAACCGCTCATAATGAAGAAAACGCCAAAGAACCCATCTATCTCGTAATGTTTACTTTTTTCAAGTCCCACAAACAAAAACCAACATACAAACTATCATACAACTAAGCTAACGATCTTGGACGTCAATGCCTTAACCTCAAAAAATAAAATTAAAATACATCTTCTAGATGACTGAAATATGTGTAGAAATCTGATGACCATTTTAATGACAAATAAAAACATTTGCATAAGCAAAACAATATATTTTTGACTTTTGTACGTCAAGTGCCGTCGGAAAGTTATAGTATTTAGGTATAGTAATATTTTATCATAACTAATAACAATTCAATGGTTAGGTAAATTAAATTAGGCTTTTCATCAGTTGCAAACTCATCTTTCAATCAATAAACCGTTTGGAAATGAAAGAGTTTAATTCAATAACGTAAAGTATTAAACCATATATTTTATCAATTAACTGCTCCAAAATACATGTATTTGCATCATGAATATATTTATATAAAAACAAAAACAATCATTTCAGTTGTAAACTTTTTTTTTCTTGTTTTTATTTTTATTTTTTAATCTCGTGAGATGAAATCAATGCACACGCATGTTTAACTCTCATACGAGCATCAGAAAACTCTGTTCGTGACTCCATAAACACGTTTATTCAGTAATAAAATTGTTTTCCTTTTTCCGCTGAACTGTGAAAATACGTGTTTTTTTTTTTAATAAAAACCGTTGCAGTTGCTGATCAAGATGAAATATGAGGCGTCGGTGCAACGATTGGATGACTATATCCAAGTCTTACCCGATAGACACAGACGGTGATCGTGTGAAATATCATATCAAGGGGCTTGGGTGTTTCGCTACAAACTGACTCCTGATGTCTTACTCACACAATATTCTAAACAAAACGCAATTTTATGTTTTTGAAGAGATGACTTTAACCTTGAATAAATAATTTTGGGGATGAAAAAACTACTGCTATAGACTGTTTGTATCATATCATTTAATGAATTGGTTGAACAAAATCAGTTTACGTTAGAAATTTCGTGACTATTGGCCATTGATGCTTTCAGGGCGGGGAATTTTGTAACTAACTCAACGATGCAACAGTTTATTAAAAAATTGTCAAAATTATTAAAATTTATTGCAATCGTTTCTTTACATTTGTTTGAGGACAGAATTTTTTCGTAAAATATAGTAGACTTCTTTGCTACGGTAGCTATGATACCGAACAATATTTTATTACTGTTTCTAAATAGAAAGAACAAGAAGTAAAAATAAATGTTTAAACACGGCGTATCGATTATGCAAAATAACACCAGCGAGCGTTCTTCGATTTATTACCGTTAACATAAATTGTTTTAAAAATAATATAATATTTTATCGACATAATAGTTATTCCCTAAGCATAAAAGTATATTGTTGTTGTATCGAATCAATATATGATTTATGGCAGTTTATAAGCATAATACAGCGGAAATGGCTTAAATGAAAATAATTATCCCGTGTTTTCCATCATAAAATGTCTTGGTTATGTGATAAATTGTAAGTATCGGTTTGATACGTATTAAGAAAAAATGTTATATTTATTTTTTATATTTTTGAAAAGAAGATATTTTAGTCACTTCACTGATAATAGTATAATTATTTGATAAGAAATTGAATTTTAACGCATTGGTTATACAAAATAACATCGATCGTGAGTACAGTGAATGTCTATGTGAAATAACATAATCGATTTTGTTGGTATAACAATTTAGGGTAGTGATATAATTAAAATTTTGACATGAAAATCAATATCATGAGGTAAGATAGTAAATATTTTCTCTGCAAAATGCACTAAGCTATACTAAGTATATTGCGTAACGATGTTTTGTATTGAAATTCATAAACATTTTATATGCGGTATGCGATCATTTATCTAGAGTTTATATTGGATTCAACGTTCGTTTCGCACTCTCAAACACCTGTACTGTCGCAAAATTGTATTCTATATCCTGTGACCATGCTTTCTGAC